GTGAAGTCACTTAATCACTTAATCACTTAACTTCCCGTTAGTCGTCGATTTGCTCGAGCGGGCGCCAGTAACGTCTCCATTTGTCCCTGTCGCGTGCCAGTGTAAACCAATGGCATCTGTTCGCTCCGGGAACATGAAGGGCCTCAAACCGATCATTCATGATCTTGACGAAGAAGTCTGACCATCTGGAAGGTGGGCGGCCACCCGGTCTTTTGACATCCCGTGGAATCCAGTCGGTAACAGCTCTAGTCCAGCGGTTGTCTTTAATCTCATTACGTAACCAGTCCATCTGATTTTCGACACCTTGGCAAATGAGACAGCGTCCCTGATTCTTGATCATCGATGGATGTCAGAACTCCGGATTCTTTCTCTTTCTCTCATTTGAGTGAAACGTGATATTCCAAGCATAGCTCTTTCTATTCTTCTTTGGGAGACCTGAATAGCGTTCTCATCTTGTTTGCGTAGGGCCCAGGTCTCTGAGGCATATGTTAATGCAGGAAGAACAGTGGAATCAAAGAGATGTGCCCGGAGCCGGAGGTTCTTCGTCCTCTTAGCTATTTCTTCGACGTTCTTTGAAGGCGTTCCAAGCCGCTCTCTTCCTCCTGAGCAGCTCGGGTGCCAGGTCATTTGTCATGTTGACCTCTCGACCTAGGTACACATAGCTGTTGCATTCGGAGATGGTCATTCCATTGAGAGCGAATGGGGCATCAGGAACGAGGCTGTTTCTCATAAACATTGTCTTCGTAAGATTCAGCTGTAGTCCTACCTTTCCACACTCACAGTCAAAGTCGGCCAGCATTTGTGCCACTTGGCTGATGTTTGGTGTTATTAAAACAATGTCATCAGCAAAGCGGAGGTGGTGTAGTTGCCGACCATCTATCTTCACTCCCATTCCCTTCCCATTCCAGTCATCGCATGATGTTCTCGAGGGTGGCACTGAAGAGTTTCGGTGAAATGGTATCACCCTGCCGCACCCCTCTCTTGACATCAACGATCACTTCTTTGTAGAATGGTGAGATCCTGGTAGTGAATCCGCAATACAGCTCACGGAGGATCCTGATGTATTGGGCTTGAATGCCCTGATTGGCTAGGGCTTCAATGACCGCTTCCATCTCAACAGAATCAAAGGCCTTCTTTAAATCAATGAACGTTAAACAGAGTGGCATCTTGAACTCCCGAGAAACCTCAATGAGCTTGGTTATTGTATGGATGTGGTCGATGGTGCTGAATCCTTTGGGGAACCCGGCTCGCTCGCATGGTTGTCCTTCATCTAGTGTTCTGCCAATACTATTTCGGATGACTCGAGTGAACAACTTGTAGATGACAGACAATAGGCAGATCGGGCGATAGTTGCCAATGTCATGGATGTCTCCCTTCTTGAACAGTTGTACGGTCCTGCTGGTTTTCCATTGGGATGGAACCTTGCATTCAGACAGGTAGCGAGTGAAAAGCCGAGCCAGTGTATTGATGAGTACTGACGGCAGGTTCTTCAGGTGTTCAGGTCTGACCTTGTCTGGGCCGGGTGCTGTTTGTTTCTTTACCAACGAAATGGCGTATCGGATTTCGGAAGGGAGAACGTTGGGAACGACATATCCATCCTGTGGAATTTGGTATGTCCGCAAGTGGACATGGCTATCGAAGAGATTTGAGTAGAAGTCATGGATAATCTTCTCCATTGCCGTTCTGAAGGATGTGATAGATCCATCAGGACGTCGGAGGGCAGTCATCTTGGTCTTATAGTTGGCGAAGGACAGGCGGGCGTTACAAATATTTTTCCCGGCTTCTGCCGCATCTACCAGTACTTCTGCTCTTCTCTCTTTGAGGTCTTCCTTGATCGCATCTCTGCACTGCTTTGCGAGCTCGGACATTAGCTTGCGGTTGCCTGAGGCATGCGCCAAACCACGCTGGTGAATTAGCGCAAGAGTTTTCGAAGATAGGCGATTTTTTGTGGCTATCTCTCTCTTGGCATTCCTCGCACATTCATGGAGGTGCTGAACCAGTCGATCGTATTCCTCGTCAATGTTGTCAACAATGGCATCTTCCCATGTTGCCGCAATAGTACCAAAGAGTTCCCAGTTGGTGGTCATTCTGGGAGTTCTCTTTTTGAACTTTGCAGCACTTTCTCCCCGCTCTGTGAAGTAGAATTTTGCACGAAGGAGACGGTGGTCCGATCCCGTTCGAAATTTTGGGACAACAGCGACATCAGTCAGGCAAAACCGTCGACTGAATGTGATGTGGTCTATTTCGTTGTGGAATCATCCACCGGGAGACTCCCATGTCCATCGTTTAGATTCTGCCTTCTGGAACTGTGAGTTACCATGAATGGTCTTGGTCAACATGATGAACTCAGACAGTCTCTCACCCTGTTCGTTCCATTCTAGGCCATGGGTCCCGATGTGAAGTTCTTCAGCTGATCTTCTCGGTCCTATCTTGGCATTAAAATCACCCACAATGATCTTGTAGAAGGTGTGGTCTTCTTTATAGAACTTCTCTAGCTCCATGTAGAACTTCTCGATTTCTCTTTCATCATAATGAGATGTTGGTGTGTAGACAATGAAGATAGAAACTGCAGGCAGTGAGTCACATCTATTCAAATGTAAACCTCCGATTCGGGTTGTTAGGCATTCGAATGAATCAATGCTCTTGGCCAAGTTTGTGTTGACAAGGACACCGACGCCTCCAACACCTCTTTTATGGCATGTTCCGAGGAACAATTCTTCTCCAGTGTCGAAAACGGCATGGTGAGATTCGTGCCTTCTTGTCTCGGTCAGACCAATGATGTCGTACTTGATCATTCGCGCTTATACCATCAGGTCCTCGATGGATGCATCTGATGCTAGCGTACGTGCATTGAAAGTACAGACGATCATTTTTGTCTTCCTTCGTTGTGGCAGCCTACGTCGGCCTTGAGATTTTGTCGGCCTCTCCTTTCTCATCCTTCTCAGTGCTGCCATGTCGGTGAAGCCTTCAGGGTCCGTGGACACTACCTCCACTACCCAGCCACCGCCACACTCCAGGATGCTTTCTGGACACATCATAAGACACTAAATACCCATCTTCCGGAATTGTCATACCATATTTGATAGGGTTCAAATATGGTAACACCTACAAGGGTGATTAGAGGTAGCCCCAAAAGCCTCTATCCCTCTCGGAAAGACTGGCAAGCTACCGAGAGTATTCCGCCCGCTCGGAAGAGCCTGGCAAGCTATCCGCTGTGTATTCGATATGCCAAAACCAGTAACTACAACTGGTCTCATTCACCTGACTGGTCTCATTCACCCAAGTGAAGTGACAGGATACAAATCAACAAGACCAAAAAAATTTGTAGTACATAAAGAATTGAAGGAAAAAGAAATTAAGAAACTAATTCCATTTACAATTACATAAAAAATAAAAATACCTGGTAGGAAACCAAACTTGTTAGAAAGCAAGAAAGAGATACACTGAAAAAATACTTAAAATCAAAGGAAACATAATCAGATCCGAAGAAAGGGAAAGACATGTTCTCATGAACTGGAGGAAGAAATGTTATGCATGTTCATCTTACCTAAAGCAATGAGGTATATTCTGGAATAGGGCTCTGAAGATTAAACCCCTGAACTCCATCACATTTAAACCAGTGATAAATCATTCAAACAAAAAAGAATGACTAAGGCCCAAGCCATAGCAGAGTGGGTAGAGCATCTTCCTTGCATGCAGCCGGCCTGGGCATTCAATCTCCAGCATCCCATATGGTCCCTGGAATGAAACTCTACGGACCGCCTTTTGAGTCCCACCAGGAGTGATTCATGAGAGCAGAGCCAGAAGTCCAGAGGACAGCTGGGTGTGGTCCTCCCCACAAACAAAAAAGGGGGGGGGGGAGAGGGAAGGAAAGGAAAGGAAAGGATGAAAGGGAGGGAGGGGAAGTGGAGGGGAGGGAAAAGGAAGGGAGAAACAGGGAGGGAGGAGACGGGAGAGAGTGGGGCGGGGAGGCAGGCAGGAAGGCACAAGAAAGGTAGATATGCAACAAATCATAATGATTAATGGCAAACTTTTCCAAGCAAATAACATTTGATTTATCTAAGTGACATGTTATGCAAAATATCATATTATATGCAATGCTATGTTGGCCATATTGTACCTAACCATACTGGACAAATCCTCGTTCTAGGTTTCAGGGCAAGGCTTTTGTTACAAGCTTAAGTACATGTAAAACAAGAACAATGAAATCAAGTACAAAACTATGAAATCACACCTGTAGGCTATTCAATATAAAATACATAGCAGCACAATACCATCCAGCCCGCTCTTCTACTCATGGTTTAAGATTTCAGAGCAAAGCAAGCAAGGCAAATGGGTGCCAGGGAGATTGCTGGCAATCAAAGGGCTGCTGTGCGTGCCCAGAATGTGTCACACTGTTGGGTGACCCTGGCGGTTCCCAGCCCTACTGGATCTAAGCAGCCCGAGTCGCCCATCGTTGTTAATCAAGGGTACCAAGGTGGTCTCTGAACACCCTGAGTATTACTTGGGAACCCTCCCCCACCCCTCACATTAAGATAAAATGGTTAAACCAGTAAGTGGTATACGTAGTCATAATCATTACATGTATTCCATTAATAATGAGAATGAGTTTTACTTTAATTACTCAAAGCCGATTTTCAATCCATGCAATAGCAATTTCATACCAGGCACTCATCTCCACTTTCAAAATGTAAATCAATAAGGATGTATAATGTTAAATTCTCCTTGGACTATGAATCTCATATTCTGTTGTATTAACTGTGCATTACAAAGCAAGCATTAATACCCAGTACACAGTAGTTACTCTAAATATGCTCTGATATAAAATACAAATGGCACTAATACACCAATTATTAAAACCAAAAAAACCCCTCCATAAACATAAAATCAAAAAACAAGCCAATTTCATAATGTTTGATTTAAGAAAAGAATGTGCTTGGCAAATACACAATAGTTGACTACCCAACACCAAAATCAAAAAAGCATTAAAATATATTTACCCGTTATATGATTCAGTAACACCAGCAAACGGCTCATTTTCACAGTTGGCATATAAAAATACAGAGCTCAGTCCAAAAGCAATTATAGATGTAATCAAAGCAAATTTCATTGTGTTTCTACAAGTCATTCTGAATTTTGAAACAAGGACACCACCTAGAACCTGACCAAGAGCAGCGCCAGGAATTAAAATAGCCCCTAATGAAAATAAAGAGAGACACAGTGAGAAAATATACCAATATACTCAGTAGAAAACATCAAAAACAAACATCAATAGGATTTGACATATAAAAGCTTGCATTTTAGAAACATAAATAACAATAATATTAAGACATTAATACAATCCTCAAGATGAAGATTAAAAATATATTTCCTCTAGCTATATGTCTGATTCTACCATTTATACAACAGAGTGCATGTAAGCAAAGCCACTCTTTTAATCAAATCAGTAGAAAGTTTAAATTTCAGTAAATGGGTATACAAAATTATATATATATACAGTTCTATGTAACCAGAAGTAAGTAACTTCGATTAAAAATTTAAATACTATTCTAATAAACATTTAATGTGTCAATTGAAACTACTAGATTAAGAGAACTAAGAAAATCGGTTACCTCCAAGGGTAGCAGCAAAGCTGGACGACAATCCAAATTGGTTTTCTATAAATTTAGGTAAAAATGTAGCAAATCCAGTGGTAACTAAGGCTTCTGAAGAAGTTGATAGAACTAAACACATAAAGACAGTATTCCTCATCAAATTCTAGAGAAAAAATACAGTTCACCAAATGAATGTCTATGGTTTCACTGCAAAATGCAGCATCCAGGGACTAGCATGATGAAATGGTACATTTTTAATAAACAAAAGATATTCATCTGTAAAATTTTAGCATTTTCTCTAACACAAAAGTGTAACATTCAAGTATAAATATGAATGATCAACAACCTATTTCAATTTGAGAAAATGTAGTGCACCTAGAAAACTGACAATTGATTTATCAATAAGGTATATTTATGCACTTTGTATCAGCAAAGGAGCTATGTACTTTACATCAGCAACTATGTACTTTATATCAGAAAAGGAACAAAAGGAAGAAAAAATTCATTTGGAAATGTGCTTTTTCATCTTATAAAGTCTGATATAATATACCTAACCCTAATCTGATATTTTTAACGTTCTCAACTGCTATGTCCAATAATTGAGGAACTAGACCGAGAACACAGAAAAAGGGGTCAAATTTGTAACATTATTTCACAAATTTTTAATATTATTCTGACTCACAGGAGTCAGAAGCTAAGGACCTTAGTCAGGTATAGATTTAAGAATTTCAAATAAAATCTATGTTGCTGAACTTCTCGGAATTTAGTAATTCATCAAGGGGAGAATAACATTTCATTATTTCAATATACCTAGCCATAAAGTAACAACAAAATTATTGCTCTGCAATATTAAATGCAAAAAATAATATTTCTTAATTCTGAGCAATATCCTCCCGTGCACATGCATAAATGTGTTATATACAATCATAATACAGAAACAGATTGTCAGAGAAAAAAATGTACACATTTCCATTCATATTTTTTAACATATTATCACGTGCTAAAAGATGTAGAAAGATAAAAATACTACAGCGAGACTTCGGTGACATCTGGGTAGTTCCATCCCCACACATGAATCACAAACAGGCAAGATAGGGCCAGGGAGTAATGCGGGGGCGGGGGGGGGGGGGGTGCGGGGTAGGGCGCTTGCCTTTCACGCGACAGACACCGGCCGGATCCTGGTACCACGCATGGTCCCCAAGCACCACCAGGAGTGATCACTGCACACAGAGCCAGGATCTGAGCACCACTGGTTATAGCCCCCCAAAATACAAAATCCCCCAAGAAAATGAGGTTCAGAAGTCAGAGCAGGGATCTAACAGGAATAGTAGAAAGTAAGTAAAAGCAACTGAGTTAAGACATGCAATAATATAACGAAATTGTCTTTTGAATGAAAAAGATAATGGAGTTTGATTTGATAGTTTAAAAAAATGCATTTTAAGCATAATCTAGTCTAAGTTTCCTGAAAAGAAAGATAAATGAAAAGGTTTACAAGTGTTCAAATAGAATGAATAACATTAACAAGAATTTTCCCAACTGCAACACATTTTCTAAAATGAACAAAACAAAACTGACATACTCTCGGGATTAAAGAAACATGTTCCCAAAGTATTCTTCTAGTATATCATTCAAGCATTCAAGAAAACTTGAGTTTGCATGTCATAATTTATGAAAAAAAATAGGTAACTAATCATTTGTGATGGTAATATTGAGAATTTAGAAAATAAATATGCACACAAAATAAACCAAACTTGGAGAAAATATAAAATTGCTGTAGTTAAAATAAAAAATTCTCAACACTCTCAGTTAAACACAGTAAATCACCTACATGGCTGAGAGGAAGCAGAATTCAAAGATGAAGTAATTTTAGAGTCTTCATTTGAAGAGAAAAATAGGTAAATAATTTCAAATCTTACAAGGCTAAAATTTTAAACCTCTTAATGTATATTATGTATGAAACTCCCATGATACTAAACAGAAAATTTTATTTTCTGAATATAATAGTATAGCTCGTGCACTGTTTACACTAGCACATGACAGGGAAGAATGGAGACGTTACTGGTGCCCGCTCGAGCAAATTGATGAGTAACAGGATGTCAAGTGATCAAGTGATGCACTGTTATTTCTCCACCTCAATTTCAAACTCAGTAACAATCAAATGCCACCGCTAAAACAAGGGGAAAATCTTGGTTCAGTATTCTCAATTATATTTTTACAATTCACTGACAACTCATCAGTTCACTGTATAAGAGAAACTATGTGCAATATGAACAATAGCATTAATAAAGAATCACTTAATCACTGACAGTGGTAATAAGATAATAAGATAATTCATGCTCTTCCAATCAATAGCTTTCAGTTACTTAAAGCACAATAAAATTAAATCTGAACTGCAACTATAGTAAATAAGCAAACGAGAGTATATCATGTACTTGACTTATGTAAGTACGTATTTAGTTCACTCATGCATATATATATCTGTGTGTGTGTGTTGTGTATGTGTGTGTGTGTGTGAGCATGAGTGCATGTTTGTACATGTGCTCATGTACCTTTAGAGCAGCTGGAAAATCTTTAAAGCTTTTTCCAAAATTTTCATCTGAGGTCTGTACAGAAGAACTCTTATTCTGATGGGTCTGGGAAATTTTTCCTTCTTGAATTTGTGCAGTTCCTAAAGAAACAGTCAATGTGTTTATTCTGTCACTTCAATCTTCAACTTTCAAGATACTTTTAATGACACACATTTCCACAAACATAAACTCCTTAATACAAGAAGCTGATTCTCTTTGTCAATATAAAGTCTGCATCTGTAATATGCTTAGAGGAAAAATGGACATTATTATTATTATTTAGCTACAGAAGAACCAACCAGTTTCACAAATAAAATGAGGTCATTTTGCACCCAATATTTATCCTCATTTTTAAAATCTTAAATGCATCCTCCCTTCAAATAGTTTTCTTTTTCATCTTTTTTTTGTACCAATCAAGTAGTTTTTAGGCTTTTCCTGCCCTTTACTCTCTTTAATTTAGAACTGTTTTGCAGTTGAAAATATATCTTCTATTACACCATACCCCTTTGGATTTTTAGAAGAGTGGAGCCATGACTAACTCTAAGAAAAGTGAATAATATGTGGAATTGTGAGCTGGAACATTCAGATTAGAAAGAAATTAATGATCTCACCTACTTTTATTCTGTCCACGTCGCTTTTCTAAAAGCACACTGCCCATTTCTAAAAGCTAATTCCATCTATTCTTATTTTTAACAAAAACAGCTGAAAATTTTCAATCTAAGAAAAGTACTTCTACAGGTTAGTTTTAAGCAATGAATTACTGAAGGAAAATCCCACAAAAAATGGAAATTCTTTTCTGTCAATCTTTGCTTTTGAATAGCTTCATATTAAAGGATAGTAAAAGTTGAGTCATACAGCATGACTTTGGTGACAACTGAAAGAATAGTCCTTGTTATTTCCGCAATTGATAGTGAGTATCAGGGGCCAGAGCACTGACAGGAATAACTCCTGAGTGCAGAGCAAGGAGTAACTGTGCATCATCTGGTAAGGTCCAAAAATCATAAAAAAAAAAAATGAGTATCAATGATTTAGAACATATTTATAGACTTCAAAGCTGGTAAGTGCCAATAAATAGTTTTAAATACATTTTACTTTGCAAGTACATAAGTGAGGACTCCAGACAATACATAAGATGTTTAGTATCTGTTCAGTTATACTGATCACTAACCAGAAATAACAATCAGGAATATTACGGCTGCTACCCAATAGCCACAAAAATACAGGCGGATTCAAAAGTTTATATCGACAATTGGGATTGTATCAAACAAAGAACAAATTTTCCATGGCTTTTATTATTCACATAAAAAAATACTTGGCAAGAATTGGAATAGGACTTTCTATTTTAAAGAATATTTTAATATTTTTTAAAGAAAATATATTTACCTGGTAAATGCTTTGGGAAGCAAGAAAACGGTATTATCAAAGACCATGCAAAAAGCCACACCAAAAGAAATCCAATCCACCACGCTCCCAGCCATCTCGGATCATCCTCAGTGATATCAATACTGCCGACAGACAAACAGGTAAGAATCAACCCTCTGCTGTTAATGAGAACTTGTGTACAAACACACACTTTTAATCCCAGTGTATACTGCTATAGAATCCCGAATTTCAACTAGGGTCACAGTGATGATGGTAAGGATGAATAAAAGCTCTAAAAAAAAAGATTTACAAAGTATTTCAATATGATAAATGAAATGAAACTTTAACAGTAATAGATGCTTTATACTTCAAAGTATACATAGGATTTTGATCACCCTATTACTCAGATGAGCCTTTTTCTCTACTATGTTAAGTTTTAACCTAAACAGACCTCATAGCAAGTCACAAGTATGTACTAAAAACTGATCCACCATGCTCAAATTTGGGAATTCATTTAAATACAAAATTCTTTCAAAGTGATTTATTAATAGTTTTATGATAGTGCTCTCTGCTTCTAAATAAATAAATAAAATCTTTTTTGTAAACCCAGCAGTGTTCAGGTTTACTCCTGTTCTGGGCTCAGCAGAGATCACTCCTGGTGGAGCTTGAAGGACCAAATGGGGTGCCAGGGTGTAGAGTGTGACTCAAGGAAATCACCTTATCAGCTGTGCTCTCTCAGACCTCCTACTTCTCACAGTTTTCTATCAATAAACTCTTCCTGAAAAATGCATCACCACTTAAGTCATTCTCCACTGAAATAAAAATGTCTTGTCTTGAAAACCCAGCTCTCTGCTTCAGTGATTTTTCACTGCACACCTTTTATATAATCTCTAAAACATTAACCTACAAGTAACAGCTCAAAGAACATATCACATCCTCATGACGATGCTTTCTTATTCATTGCTCAGTCATGCTACAGATGGTGTAGTTCCTATTATCCCAGTGAAATGAGAAAATAACATGCCTCCTCAAAGTCATTAATTTCTCTTTTTAGAAAAGGGAGGTATTCTAGTAGCTACAATCAAACTTTTGATTAGAACAAGATCTTCCATTCAAGCCTGTCTGCTTACCAGAAGTGTAAAAAACTACATTACTGGATTATAAAAAGAACCGAGGAAGCTGCCTTATGAAATATAACTCAAAAACATGCGCATATAAACATAATGTGAAATCAGTATCACTTATTTTCTGCCACCGTCAGAGCTGGATCTCCATGGCATTACCAGACTGCCCAGAACTTAGCTGGAGAGTCACAGACTCAGGGTTCTTCGGGCAACCTAGCTCTATATACGACTAGTAGAAATGACAAAAATTGATTAAAATTTTTTAATGATGCCTAAGCTCAAGGCTGTGTAATTTGAAAAATCTCACTAAGTGACTAATAAACATGCTCACTTATAAATAAATGCATTAAGCGAAGAGATATTTGGTATTCATTTAGGAGGCAATATGTGAATGAATCATCCCTTTAATTGTGCGCAGGGTTGGTGATAGGGATGACAGGGCTAGACCCCTGGGTTTGATCCCCAGCACCATAAGTTCACATCAAGCACGACCAGGAGCAACCCCAGCACCACACCCGAAGTAGTGACTAAGCACTGCTGCACATGGTCCAAAATTTAAAAAAAGAAAAAAATTTGACTTTCTGTTACTCAGTATACAGTTTCATTTCTGAAATATTCAGATACAGAGATACTGTGAAAACCTAAATTAAATTCAGTGAAAGAAAAATACGTCTGGCCTCACCTCTGCCCCATGCCAAAATCGATGTAGAGCGTCAGCAGCTGCCCTCCCACCACGTAGCCGATAGCAGGGCCTAAAATGGACATGGAGTAGCCAATTCCTAGAAGAACAAAGACACTGAGAATAGTAACCGGTACAACACTGCTTTGAATACCTCATAAGATTCAAGAAAAAAAAATACTTTATCATACAAAAATCAGAGGGATCAGAATTGCACCAAAATTCTCATTTAAAATACTATTTGAGGGGGCTGGAGTGATAGCACAGCAGGTAGGGTATTTGCCTTACACATGGCCAACCCAGGTTCGATTCCCAGCATCCCATATGGTCCCCTGAGCACCACCAGGAGTAATACCTAACTGCAAGAACGAGAAGTAACTCCTGTGCATCGCTGGGTGTGAACCCAAAAAGAAAAAAAAAATACTATTTGAATGGTATCACTTCAATGGAGCTTAAAATATTTAATGTGAATTTCAATAAACCCAACAAGGATAAATTGATTTAAAATTGTTACCTAAAAGCAGGGGTATTATATCTACTATTATACTTACTAGATGATGATAAGAATTGTTTGTAATTCTTGTGGGAAGCTAGCGAAATAAGAAGCTTTTCCACACTGTAAACATATCCGAAGTATTCTGTCTTTGGTCTAACAGCAGTTACAACCTGGGTCTGGTCAATCTGCTTTTTAAATATATGCCACTCCCACATTCTGAGTGATGCTCTCACTTTTATTTGCAACAAGTAAACTGGTCTTATTTCCCTCTGTTACTTAAAAATTTTAACATAATAACTTTAAATGTTTGCAAAAAAAGTATGCATGATCAGACACACTTTCGGGAGTTTTACATTAATTGCTGATTTCCCTACACAGAAGGGTAAGAATATACCTTATCCAAGGTTAAACATACCATTACAAAGTCTTTGTTGTTGTTGCTTGGTTTTGGGGGCCCACCAGCTGTGCTTCTGGCTTTCCCCTGGCTCTGTGCTCAAGGATCCTCCTGGCAGGGCTCGGGGCCTATACGGGGTTCCTGAGATCAAACCTGGGTCCATCACACACAAGACAAGCACCCTGTCCTCTCTCTCTCCAGCCCCAAGTGTTGGGTACTAGACCGAGTCTCCAAAGATCAAGCACGATGATATAAGAATGTAAAAGATCTTTTATTTACATGTCACTCTCTTAATTTATAGTGTAGCTGTGTATGAATTTTGCTCAAGAACTTTAGTAGAAATGCTCAAGTATATAACTGAGTGAATATACATAAATTACTCATACTCAGAAAAGTTCTGGATAGATGTGTCTGTTTAAGAATGCTGAATGTCAATGATCTCAAACTAGTTTCCTTTCCATAAGTCTTTAAGTCTTACCTTTCTGGTAAGTCTTTCTGTAAGTCTTTCCTTTTAAAAGCAAAAACTTCTACCCAGACCACTGTTATCTATAAGGACACTATATACCCTAGTGTGAGGCTCATGATGCAAAGAAGAGCAAAGGAAAAGGGCAAACATGAATAAAGTGAGTGATTTTTAAGACATCAGTTCAGTGAATTAATTAGGAGATTCAATTACACAGAATTAAGTACATAAATGTTGAAAGGATGCAAAATAAAGTTAAAGAGATCTGAAAGCATCAACAGAGCTTCATCAAATCAAGTATGACAAAACAAGAGAAGAGACAGCACAGAATGATAACAAATCCTCGTGCTTGGAAGATAAAGCAGAGATTCCCATGCACTGGGAAGAGAGAAAGAGGAATGAAGAGGACAACCAGAGGTAACATAAGGACAGTGTTGGTGTGTGTTGACTGTTTCTCAAAACCATAAACATTGCAAACACCTTATCAACAATGACAATAATAATAAAAGTTAAGTTTGCAGCCAGAGTGATAGTACAGTGAGGAAGGCTTTGCAGGTGGGCTTGATCCCAGGCATCCCATATGGTTGGTCATTGAGTCTAAGTACTGCCAAGAGAGATTCCTGAGCAAAAAACTAAGGGTAAGCCCTGAACACAGAGCCAGGAATAAGGCCTGGGCAGGTTTAGGTGTCCCTCCACACCGCCCCCAGAAGTCAAGTTTGAATCCACTGTACAGTTTGTAGAGGAACAATAAAAGAACATAGACCTGGAAAATTCATAGAGGAAGGAAATAAAATCATATAAATTGCCTCATGAACAAAAAGGGAACAAAAAATGAGAGAAGAGAGCAGAGGAAGCACAACAGCTGCCCTGGCATGCAAACTAAATATCTCAAAGGACCAGCATTCCTGGACTATGAGTCTGGTTCATGGTGCCAGACCAAGACTGGTTTGCAAACAATAAGGTTTTGTTGAACACATGTACGCTTTCTGGGAGTCTGGGACTTTGGTGTGCATGGGGCAATGAGGTCCCTGCATGACTGGCCCTGAATAAAAGCCCTGGGCACTGCATTTTAAAGAACTCAGCAGGCAGAAAACACACAGCACATGGTGCCCCAGCTTGCGACTGGCAGAGCTAACTGTGACCCACCCAGCTCCAGGAGCGAGAGCTGGCATCGGTTCCCGCTGTACCGTACCTCCTACACCTCTCCCCCACTGATTTTGCTTCAGTCCTTAGACCGAAGTAAGTTACAGCTGAGACTAGGCCTGCTGCAGAGTTCTGGGAGTCCAGAATATATCCAAACTTGAAACTCGCTTCACCCCTACCGACCATGCCAAAATCATTTCTCACCACCTTTTCTTATCCGAGCATGCCCCCCAGAACATAAGTAATAAAAAGGTTCTAGAAGAAGCACCACTCAGAAAGAAGAGCTCCAGGAAGAAAACCTTTTATAGTGAAAGAATGGCGAGGGAGAGTGTTCATTAGGAGGATGGAAAAAGATGTTGAGGAGATATGGCAGAATTACAGCGAGTTTCCAGTCCTGCAGAAAGGAGGTCAGGCCGGAAGGGAAAAACAGAAGCACCGTGTTTCCCCACTGGGGAGAAGGCTGAGCAGACTTAGTGGGGTCTTTCCAGGAAGCGAATGGCGGTCCCCGCTTCCAGTGGCATGCCTGTGTCTCTGTACCATTCATGAATGCACTTGAGATTGAAACCTAATCCCCAGTGTGATGGCTTGCAAGGTGAGAGGCTTTGGGAAGTGACCAAATGACTAGAGTTAGACCCCTGATTCTGGGGATTTTAGTGGCCTAAGAAGAGACTCATCCATGTGAGATCACAGCAAAGCCCCAGTCAGACGCCAGGAACTGAGATCTTTTCATACCAGATGTCGGGAGCAGTATGGGACCTGGCCCACTTCAGTCCCTATGACTGTGAGAGACATTTCTGCTGTTTCATGATCGGTTGGGCTGGAGCGATAGCACAGCGGTAGGGCGTTTGCCTTGCATGCAGCCGGCCCGGCCGAGCCGGGTTTGATTCCTTCACCCATCTCGGAGAGCCCAACAAGCTACCGAGAGTGTCTCGTCCGCACGGCAAAGCCTGGCAAGCTACCCATGACGTATTCAATATGCCAAACACAGTAACAACAAGTCTCACGATGGAGACATTACTGGGCCCGCTCAAGCAAATCGATGAACCATGAGAGGACAGTGACAGTGACATGAGTGGGTCATCCCAAACACAGTAACAACAAATCTCACAATGGAGACGTTACTGGGCCCGCTCAAGCAAATCGATGAACAATGGGAGGACAGTGACAGTGACATGAGTCAATCAACAGCGAAGGAACATCATAGTTGTCTATTTCATTTGTGTTTTTTATACAGATGAAATTTTTGCCTGCTGAACTCAGATGTGTAAGGCCTACATCTCACCCAGGACCTAAACTACCGGCCCGAACCATTGCTATTTGAGCCACATCACAGAAACATTGGTGAAGGAATGTTAAGAGAATTGTATGCTACCAAGGATTAGATCACAGGGCAAGAGTGGGTAGGGTACTTTCCTTACCTGTGGCCGACCCAGGCTCAGTCCCCGGCATCTCATGCTACCAGGAGGGATTCCTGAGTGCAGAGCCAAGAGTAATCCCTGAACATTTCCAGGTGAGGCCCAACAACAAAACAACAAAAAACAGGCCTAGATCCCAAGGGGAGGGGAGCAGGGGAGGGGCACAGCTTGGTAGAAAAAAAGGGGTTAACATGAACCGAGAGGCTACAGAAGTTTCTGGTACTGTTTGTGGTTTCTTTTGTTGACTCTGTTTCGTCCATGGAAGGTGCAGGAAGTCATGCAGAAGGGCAGTGCCCATCTCCACACCCTGCGCAAATGAATCTGTAACTGAAGCAATGCAGACAGGACACTGCTTGGCCACCCCTTCCAGGAAAACCGCCATGCCCCCAACAGGACGTCAACAAAAATCATGAACCCATTCACCCCAGTGTACAGTGCCAGGACAAAAGAGAGGTGCCATGAAGCTCCAACTATGGAAGGAGCATGTGCTCCTCTACTAATAAATGAAATGAGAACAAACTTACCTATATAAAGGGAAGACTTGTGTGTGGGGACAGAATCATCGATAAAAGCCGTCCCCAGGGTGTAGAGGGGAGTCCCCCCTGTCCCTAGAAATAGTTGTCCCAGGATGAAGACATACAGGAAGTTGGAAAGTGAGGAACTTGAAGAGTTACAGCTGGTTCTATTCCCTGTCGTCGAGCAAGTATCTTTAAGGACAAAAAAGAGAGTTGTAAGTTCATAGAAACACAGTGAATAATTTTAAAATCTAGCTTACACATGATATTTGCCTAAAGTACCCCCTGTGTTATTTCCAACCATTTCACTTTTATTGTATTGGAGCTCATTTTAATATATGTATTGTTAAGGAATATTTCAGGTTATCGCCACTTCAAAATGGAGAAAATACACAAAACTGAGAACAGTAAGATTCAAAATCAACAAGTACTCAGATAAATTAATGTAAACACAACATTTCAAATGATGTCAGGAGGTAAGTATTCAAATTAAGGGCAAAAGAAATGAGACCTTATTCTTTTTAAAAATCTCAAATATATATGCCCACCATAGGAGTTTATTAATCACTATTTAAAACATTTGAAGATGTATAGATTTTGAAATGCTTTGTTATTCTCAGTACTCATTACAAAACAGTGATATGAAGCTATGTTGCTTTTATTTATATCAAATTTAATTTTTTTTTTTTGGTTTGGGGTTCTCAGAGGAGATCACTCCTGTGTTTAATATTTCTATAGCTCAAACAAGTTTGTCATATTTACTTTTGAAGCCAACTTTAGTTTATCAAATATTCTTTTGAATGTCAAAGAAAAACGATCATCTTCAAGATTTTATGGAAGTCTTTTTTTTAATAGGGACAGGGATGAAGCTCGGTGATAACCACATACGTGTCTTGTATAAAATAAAGCCCTGGGTTTGATCTCAACACCACAGAAAAATTAAATCTTTTAAAAACCACATTCAAAGACTAGTATTATGGTATTATGGTATTTGCAAATCTCATTTGATAACAATAATGAACTCACATGCTTGTTAAAAATATATCTCCAGCCCTTTCCTTTCCCTCTGAATCTGGTATGTGCACTGAATTTGCACTTTCAAAACAGCCTCAACTAATTCTTTTCCATTTTGTTGGTAACAGACTTATTATTCTCTGATGGAGTAAAGTCTGAGACTTTTTTTTAGAAAATTCATTGATTCATTCACAGTCAAGAAAGCAAATTATAATGCATTTTAAAGATGATTCAGTCATTTAAAAAAAAATAAAAGAAAGAAATTCTACCATTTTCACCCTAACTGGACCATGAAAGCATTTTACTACATGAAGTAAGTAAGAGGTAAACAAATATGGCATGGCTTCAATTAGACATAGAATCTAAAAAAAATTTAAAAAATCATAGAAAAAGATCAGATTTGTGATTACACAGGGCAAAGGGTAGGGGAAGATGGAATTAAAGGTACATAGGCAAAAGATACAAACTCAATAAAATCAACCAGTACTAATTGAAATCTAATGTACTTCACAATAATCATAATCAACATTACTATATGCTATATAATTTACATAGATAGTAAATTTATTAAGAGTAAGTCTTAAAAGTTCTTATCACAAGACTATTGTTTTATTCTTTTTTTTACTTTTACTATTTCTATCTGCAATGACATATATTATCCGAATGCACTGTAATCATTTTGGACTAATTTATAAATAAAATTACCATACTGGACTTCTTTTACAGTGATAGATGTCAAATATCTCTCAATAAATTTAGAGAAAGGGAACCCATTTACTTTAAATTTTAGGTTTAAAATATGACCATAATGCTGTGTATCATTTTGAGGTAAAAGGATGAAGAATAATTTGGCTGATGATTTGTTTTTCCAACCAGAGTAGGCCTAGATTATTTTTTACTTAACTGGTCACACAAGATATTTGCATGGTACTTGCTGGTTTCAACATTCAATTTCCTAGAAGCGGCAGATTAAACTAATAATCTACAATTCAATATAATGAAAAAAATACATATACCTGCAGACACTTTTTGTTTTATCCTATGTTTTTGCAATATACAAAAATGTCTTTAATGAAACCATTTTCTGGTCATTTTCCTATGATACTATGATCATTCTTCTGTGATACTTTGATCATAGAATTCCATGGGGTTTTTGGTTGTTTTGCAGGGGACTCCCCCACAGTGCTCACAATCTGCCATTATTACAGCAGTTCCACGCTAGAGCCCAAAGCTAAATGTTGCTTGCGCCCTGTGAGGCCAGGGACTCCTGGCTGAGCCCAGTGGGGCTGAACCCAGGAAGTGCTCAGAGAGCCGTGTGGTGCGGGAACTGTGCCTGGTCGGGCAGCACCTTCCCATAGCCCTGTCTGCTGCGGTATCACAGGGTCCCTGCTTCCAGTTCCTTCCATGGGCAGCACTATTTGTGCAAATCCACCTTAAATGACACAGAAAAAGAGCCAGAGAAAACAAACTGCCCCTCGTCCCTGGCTCATCTCTATGCTGCACTAGTCATTTGATTGTTTTTCAGGCATTTTCTCAAGCATACACGTTTCTTTGCTACTTCCGTTTTTACCTAAGTCTATTTGGACTGCATGCATTCTCCTTACTCTCAACAATGTCCAGTTTAGGGGAATCCAGAGAGCTGGTGCCTGGATGAAGGTACTTGCTTTCTCTGTAGCTAGGGCTTGCTCGATCCCTGGCAGCATATGGTTCCCCTGGAGCACTGCTGGATGGGTCCAGAGACCCTGGACTGCACCCCATAGTCAGAGTTCTGAGCAGAGGGCCAAAGCAGTTCTCTGCCCTGGCAGTACAGAACGTCCAGTTTTCAGTTACGGCCGGAACATCTTTAATTCCTTCATCCTTCTTTGCTAATTTTAGTTTCTGGGCCACACTAAGCGATGCTCAGGGCTCACTCTTGGACTATGCTCAAGGAGAGACCCAACTGGGGTCAGCCAAATGCAAAGATAATGCCTTACCTCCTGCACCACCTCCCCAGAATGATAAATTAGGCACCAGGTACACTGCAGAGTACAGTTCACTAAGATTTTGCTTGAGGAGTTTGTTTCGGATTGTCTTTCCTGGTTTGGTTGTTTGTTTTGTCTTAGGTCATAAGCAGCATGCTCAAGGCTTACTCCTGGCTCTATATTCAAGGATCATACTGGTGAGATTCTGGGGGTCCTATGGGGTACTGGAGATTGAACCCTAGTAGGCCACATGCAAGGCAAGTGCCCTACTCATCACTCTATCTCTACACATCCATCTCCTATTGCTTCAAGACACATTTCTATTTTTTGCTGGTAATGTAATAATATGCCACAACATAATTGCTCTGAGAGCTCTTCACCCAGATCTCAATTTACACTTAAAAATGAGCATAATATACAGAATATTGGTATATTTACATACCATAGGTATCTAAGCAATCATTATAAACGATGCTATGGTCATTATTGTTTAATTTATTTTCCATATTTGTTCAAACATATCCATAGGGAAAGTTCAAAAAGGTAGACGTGCTAGGTCAAAGTATGTAAATATTTACATTTTGATAGGCCAAAAGGCCTTATCAAAGTTATAAAAGTATGTGATACCACTAGACATGCAACAACACTTTATAAAACTCAAAAAAAAAATCACCGCCAATCTTAGGACTATATATGTGTACATATAAATGATTTCACTTGTTAAATATTTGGTTTACTGGCCACTTAGTTTTCCCTAGCGAATTTTTCAAATTTCTTTTCTATGTTCTCAGTTTGATGTCTGACTTGTAAAAGTCTTCCTTTCTTCAGGATTACATATAAACCAACAAGCTTTTACCCTAGCACTTCTATTTATTCTTAATTCATATGTAATGCATTTGATAGGATGAAATATGGGTGCAATATGATAATAAATCAAACAGCACAATTCTATTAAATTTTCGGTGTGTTGGTTTATTTCTGGATACTCTATTTTGTGTCTGATACAAAATCCCTTGTGATCACCTTAGATAAGATTTCAGTGCAAAATTCAGTTATTGCACATTATTCACCAATGACTCAATAACAGTTAACAGATCCCAATTTATCATTTTCCTCAAATAAGCAAGACCTAACATTTACTTCTAAAAACCAGTGTCCTCAGTACATTACGTTCTCTGAATCATTTTCTTCTATTGCTTTTCTTAGAACTGATTAAAAGACATGACATCTCAAGATACAAAGAAAGCCTAGATCAATTTAAACATACTCCGCTTAGTGTAAAAGAATCACATTTGAAAAAGATACAGACTTTATGATTCCAAGCATGGGACTATGTAAAATGGCAAATTCATAGGACTGGTAAAAACAGCAGCTGTGGCCTAGAAGTGGAGTCGCTAACACACAAGGAGTTGTTTAAGGGTGGTGAAATGACTACATAATGTCTGATCATGGATACATGATATACACAGATGTCAACAATTACTGAGTGTCAGAGCACACAAAAATGTCACATACACAAATTTTAGGAAGTCATTTAAAAGGCCACAAAGATTCGGGACGAAACTCATAGTACTACCATATCACCCAACCATAATACAGATGTAGGAAACAACTCACCAAGGAAAAGGTGGGGGAACAGAGAGATAGTGCAGTGGGTAGGGCGTTTGTGTTCCACACAGCCAACCTGGTTCAATCCGCTGCACCCTATGTGGTCTCCCAAACCCACCCTGAATGATCTCTGAGCACAAAACCAAGAGTAAGCCCTGAGCACTGCTGTGTGTGGCCCCAAATATAAGAAGAGGAAGCAAAACTACATATATGTTCTACTTTGCCAACCTTTCTTGCAGTCACGGCCCATGGCTGACCTCAGTTCTTCCTGTGGCCCTATCCCCACCCTACTGGTTATCTTGCTGGATGTAAGCTGTGTAGTTTCACTATTATTAAAAAAATAAAAATAGAAAGAAGGCGATCTCATTATCATAGCCAAGAAGATTATAAAGAGCAACTAATTGTAATAAAACATGTTGAATGGAATTGTGCAAGGAAAAATACAGATAAATATTAAGACTATCTTAATATGAAAACTACATAATATTAGAGTTTTTCTGAAAATCCAGACCTATTCTGAAAAGCTATTTTAAAAATATAGACTAAACCAATCAATTACAAATAAAAAACTAGAGGCTCATAAAAGTTAAAATAAAAAGGTAGTAAAGG